TCCACAGTATGTTCTTTTGCTGCTTCTGGATTTAACTGTGTTCTGTCTGTGTGTAAAATATATTGGATACTGTCCCAAACTAAATGCTAACAATATGTTGTTTTCCAGCTTGGTTTTGGGTCGTTTCTTGGAATAATTGGATCAAACTTGATAGAAAACAAAAGGCAAATGGTAAGTTCATGATAAAAACTTCTTTGTGAAAAATAACAGTAACGGAAATTTTGTATATAAAGAGTATTACTGGTTTTCCTATCTCTTCCAGGATAGTGCTGCATACCTCTTGAGAACCAGAGGTGGTTTCTGGCAGCCCTGGAGAACAAGGCTGTTAATCCTGATCTTTTTAAGTAATAATAAAAAAAATGCTCAGGGAAGCACAAAGTGACTATGCACGGTCTCATTGAACTCAGTGGGTTTTTTCTAAAGGGCTTGAAATTGAGCGTTTGGGGTTTTAAGGGTAGTCTTCACAGGCTCATGGCTGGCACCTTTTCTGTTGAGCTGTCACAGTATGTGATACATAAAATGGTAAATAACAAACAAAATAAATTTATTTTAAATTTTTAAAAATACATTCTTAGAGGTTTGGAGCTCTGCAAAAATTGGTTTGGGCCACTTTCTATTCTAAGCAAAGGATAAAGAAGATCAAGCAGGCGGTGTATGAGCCAGCCTGAAAGCCCTTAGAGGGTGCAGCAGAAAGTCCTTCCTGAGGACAGGAGTGCTCAGAGCTCTCTGCTCTAGATAAATCTAGAGAATAAGTCACTCGAGATATTGACAAGGCAAAAAGCATGAAGACCAGTGTAACTGAAAAGCAAGCAACTTCTCCAGTGCTGCTGATTAACATGTGTGTTGCTGGTCCTTGTTGCCAAATACCTCTTCAAGTAGGAAGGAAAACCAAGAAACTTTGCATGCTGTAGAGCAGCGGTTGGGGACCTGGGAAGCAGAGCAGATGCACAGAAGCACAGATGGTTGCCCCATGCTCTGGCAGCGAGATCCCTCCAGCCTTCCTCGTATGTGGCTGCAGAGGGGCAGGGGGGATCCTACTGTCCCTGCAGCCTGTCCCAGCGCTGCTGCCTGCTTTTGCAGGGATGGAGCTGCCTCTGCAGAGAGGCTGTGGGATCAGATTAGCAGGACTTGTGAGGCTAACGCGTGTTTGCCAAGCTGCAGAGGGAGCTGGGAAAAATTCCTGCTTGTCGTAATCCAGAGGCTGGGCTGGGCTGGGCTGCCTTGCCCTTTGCTTTGCATGTGGTGTGCTCCCTTCAGAGCAGGAGGGCGAGGGTGAGGCAGAGCCTGCAGGAGAGGAGAGCTGCCTTTCCCACAGCCAGATAGGGTGCAGGGTAGCTGGGTTTCCCACTGGATATTTTTTGTTGTTTTCACCCTGGCTCTGTGAGAGCAGCATGTCCCGTTCTTTCTGTCCTAGCAGGCTTTCCAAGCCTCTTGCTCATCGTGTTATTAGCAGTGTGCCAGGGTCTGGTTGAGCAATAACCACATTATGCCAGTCCTGCATTCTTCACAGGAGTGCCATTAGTGGCAGCATGGCTCTGACTTGCCTTGTTTGTTTATTCTGAAGAACCCTGGGTAGTTCATGTTTATTCTTTTCATGTCTCTACCGTTTTGTGTCCTAAAAAGCATGCGTGACTCACCTTTGCAGGGATTGTGTCACTGCTGCCTTGGTTGGCAGCTAGCGTGCCTCTGCTCTGACTGCAGAGAGGACATACAGTAGCTGTCACTTACTGTCCCTGTGCTTTAGTTATGTCTCCTCCTTGCCCAGGAGCACTTTACAGTGGCAGCTTTGTCCATTGCATGTTTCTACAATACCACTGGCAGTGCAGAATTGTTTTTTCTCCTCTCTTCTGTGAACTTCCTCGGTGTCCTGGTTTGCTAAAAGGCAGTCTTGGTGTTGCTTGTTATGCGGTTGTTCCTCAGTGGTGGCAGGAAGAGCTAAAAGCAACTTCTGCCATGTTGTTGTGCGTGTTTCTGCCCATAAGCTGGCTGGGGAGCATGAGGGGTCGAGCAGGCCAGCATGGCTGACGGGGAGAGCTAACCTGGAGCAGCACCCCTCACTTCTCTCCACCCTGGCAACAGGAGAAGACCTCTCATTTTTCCCACGCAAGTGTATTGGCTCTCATGCTGTGCGTCTGTACTTCCCACTTGGCAAAGTAAGGGAGAGCTTTTGCCCCCCAGGAAGAGCCAGCAGCACTGCCTGTACTGCTCGCCCTGCAGACAGCTCTGACTTGCACCTGAGCTGCCCACTCAGCAGTTTTCAAGTGAGGAGTCAGTGTTTTACATTCCTTTGTGACAGTCATGCATGCCATGGAAAAGTAATAGCCGACAGCTTCACAGCCCATGTGTCGCTGGACCATGGCCTAAAGGGAAGCTCAGCACAGGACACTCCTGCATCGTGGTTCCTGCACTATACAAACCCAGTTTGTCTTTTCTTGTCCAAATGCTACTCTGGGTGGCTGACTTTGACAGGAATTAGACGAGTGAAGGCCAATCACTAATACCATATGGCTCTTGAGAAGGACTTCTGCTTGCTACAATAACAGTATTGTCAACCCCAAATAAAAATCTTGTTGGTAAATCCTGAGATTAGTTGGAAACTGTGGGATTTTTAAAATTAATTTGTATGATTTTATTTGCTGTTTGATTTTCTTTATCAAATTCTCAGTGTTTGGTTTTCAGGCTTTTCTTTCTCCAGCTGAGAGAGTAAACTGTAAATAAAGTGAGCAAACCCGTTTCTAACATCAGATCTTTGTATCCTAGTAGGGCTTTTATGAAAGTGTCATCATTAACCTTGTATTATTTTAAATAACCATATTAGCTGCTCCTATCTGCAAGCAGAGGTGGCTGACAAATGCCCTATTTGTATATATTTAGTGTTTGGCTCACTTTCTATTTCCAATGGTCATGCTATTTAGGGAGAATATCCTCTTTCATGTATGTATGAAACAAAGGACAGTACAGAAGAAGAACTAAACTTGCTACAAAATAACCTAAGCTATAAAACCCATTTGTTCCACCAAGACTGTGATAAACTGTGCCTTCTCCCATTGTGTGGTTTCACTGGTTGTGGTGGTGGAACAGTGTGGGAGCTGTAATGGATCAAGTGCAAGCTTGGATCCAGATGTGGGGATGGTGTGAGTCTGAGTGGGGAGGACATGCTGCTGTTTGCAGCTGACAGAAACAGGGTCCCAGTGGAGTACCTGATCCTGAAAAACTTGTCACCTGCTGCCATCTGCAAATACTTTGTGGCGCAGCATTTAATATTCTGGTAACAGTTACTGGTGACCATGACTTATGTGTATGGTCACTGAGTTAATTTCACAGCCTACTCTATCTGCTGCTGCAGTTTTTATTTGCAGTAGAGCAGTAAGCAGTTGTGCAGGGACCTATTCCATGATCCCAAGTGAGCCCTCCTGCATCTCCAGGAGCCTCCTCCTGCTCAAGCTGACCTGGTCTGGATGTGGATGTTGCTGGAAGAACGTCTGTTTTTTTACTGAGAGAGAGGAAAACAGTGTGATTAACCTAAAAATCCTGAAACACTTAAAAAATATGTATAGGATCCTTCTGGCTTGCATTTGTTGAGGAGTTTGACTTGTCCCTCTGAGAACTGGGTTCTTGTGCAGTGGCAGGAACCAAGATTTGTAAGTAAACTTAGGACCCAGAGCTTTAAAGCAAGCACCCCTGTGCCAGGAGACCTGAAGTATCTGTTAGTGCTGGCCAAGCTAACTGTTACTTTTGTAGTTCTACTAGAGGTGATTTTTACTGTTGCTCAAAGCTACTGATGACCAGTGGAGAAGCAGTTTTTAACAGTTGCCAGCGACCAACACTTGAAGACTATGATCACTGGAGTGGAAAACCAGCAGGGAAAATCCATTCAAGCTTTCAGTTCTTTAAATGGAAAAACTGCTGTTCCCCAAACTATGTCTTTGTGAACCTGTCTGAACGCTGCGTTTGCCCTCCCTCCACGGCCCTGTCAATGTCCCTGATGTGCTTTAGTGAGAGGAATTGGGATCAGTATTGGGAGCTCTGTGCATGATGACCTGGTCTGGACCCCACTGGCAGCGGCTGAGCTGCTGCTCAGAAGCAAGGAGGGGCCGTGTCAGCACTCCTGCATGGTTCCCTGAGCTGAGCACAGGCACTTTGGCAGAGGTGGTGTTTAAAGTGGTGCAGTGAGAGTAGAGGTTTTGGTTCTCATACCTGGGTTGGAGTTCGAGTATTTCTGGTTTACCTCCTGAATGCTTTTGCCCTAATTCTAAGAATGGGGCCAGTGGAAGAGGATCAGACCTGTCTGACTTCCCTCCTTGAGCCGAAGGTGGAGATCTGAGGGCTGCGCTTGCCGCAGCCTGGCACTGAAGAGCCCAGCCAGGCTGTTGTGTGGGTGAACACCACTGATGGCATAGGTTGGTCACCTGTTTTCTGGTCTCATGGGTTTGTGCTTATGTCTGCATGAAAGTCTTATTACCTGAAGGCACAGTCCTACCACAGAGGTTCGCATACCCCAGTCTTCTGTGCCCTTACAGCTTGGGAAGTCTTCACAAGAGCAGCTCCCCACAGTGCTCCAGGATGAGGAGAGAAGTCCCCTCCCTTCTCTCCAAGGAAGAGTTAAGGGCAGCAGCGGCCAAAAGAGGAGGTGTATCCTCAGCCTAAGTTTAGCACTTTGGAGTCATGGAAAAACTTGCATTACAATATCGGGTCCTCAGAGAAACCAGTCTGGCACAACACAACTGCTCCTGCTGCCCTGCAGAAGAAGACGCTCTCCTTTGAGACGTGCATCCCATCGCCTTCAATGAGACCGGTCTTTGCAGCCTGGGCAAACGTTTGGGTCATTGATTGCTTGAGGGCTTATTGACTGTGGTTTATGTATCCTTGTGGAGAGGGCACAAAGTGCTTTGTTGTGGAGAGGCAGATGATACTTTGCTTTGTTTTCCTTTCTCAGCTGGTTGCATCGATCGTCTTCATCAGCTTTGGCGTTATCGCTGCGTTCTGCTGTGCCATAGTAGATGGTGTCTTTGCTGCCAGACACATAGTAAGTGCTTCCAGGAAAACACAGGTCCTGCAGTGCTTTTACTCTGGGAAAACAAGTGATGGTGTCTGTAATTCTGTATCAGGCCACACCAAACCCTCTAAATGTATGTCATGTGCTGAATGCTGTTTTAAATCATAAGCTTTAGAAAAATGTATCAGTTTTGCAAAAGGATGTTGAAATAAGCAACAGGCATTAAGATCTTAAAACTTTGCTTTAGTTTTTTTGCGTATGCTTTATGTGTTTACTGAGTCTCAAAAGTGTAATGTGGTTTACAACTATTGCCAAGTGACAATATACGAGCAGTAATATCTATGACATTTAAATATTAGCAGAGGTAGTTCTTAATGCTGATTGAACTGCTGAATGTTTTAGCAGAATGGAGCAATTTGATATGAAGCTCATTAAAGCATTACAGTGTAAACAGGAAGCACTTGCAGTAGGTTCTCAGTTTCCATTTGATGACTTAAAAAATATGAACTGCTGTCATGAGCAATCTCTAGTACAGTGGGATGTGCAAAAGGTTCAGTTATTAGTATAGAAATGAAAAAACACAATTCCATTTCAACTTATTAATTGAAATTTATAATTGCAAACAGATTTTTGTCCTGCAACTCTGCGGTTTGATGACCTTTAAAATGTTTTTTGGCAACATGGGATTAAAAAGACAGATTTAGGGTTTATTTGTGATCAGAATGGAAAATAATTTCAGGAAGTCAGAATTACCCATGGAGTGGAAACTCTCCTTGTCAGCTGGCTTGTTATTCTTCTTGTAAAACTGGCTCCCCTTTCCTGCCCCTGAGTGGTGGAAAGACGGCTGGAGGGCAGGATTTGCTGACAGAGCAAGGGGCAGCTCTGCTCAGCTGCAGGAGAGGTCTCTGTCTGTCTGGATGCGATCAGGAAGTCTTGGCCATCTCTGACTGCCCTTGCAAGGGCACGTGAAGCATGAGCTTTGATAAAAAAGGTGAAGCTCCTTTTGCTCCTGATCCTGGCCACGTGGGTCTGAGCCCCTAGACTTGCTCTGTGGTTTTTAGGTGCTGACCTCATGGGCTGGGTGATGGCGTGAGCTGGCACCTCCTCCCAGCTGGCTGCAGGGATGTCTGCATGTCTAAGGCAGCCAGAGCCAAGTAGTTGGGATGATGAGGGCTCTGGTTTCTGCCTTTTGATGAGCGGACGTGCTTTTGGCCTCACTTCACCCCCTAACAGCCTGAGAATGTTACCATCTTGCTGGAGACGTGCTCCTGCCACACTGGCACATGGCGTTCCCCCCATAGCCTGCCGCTGCCCCATCACTCTGAGCTTTTGATCAGGCGCCCAGAGAGCAAGTCCAGCTGCTCCTGGGAAGGGCTTGCTGATGTGGATATACATCCAGCGTCGCTTTCCCCAAAGTTTTGCCCTGGGGACCCGCCTCAAAGTGAGATGTTAATGCAGGCAGTTTGCAGGCTGAGCCATTGGTAATCCCCCAGAGCTTTCCCACAGGAGCCCAGAAAGACAAGTTTGCCAACAATTTAATGAGAAAATGTTATGATTCAGCATGAAGAACCCTCAGAAACACGTCATGCAGCCCTGGGTTGTGTCTGGGGGGGATGAGGAATGAATCATTCGATTCAGGGTGGCCACTCTCACTTGAATAAGTCCAGCTTAAGAGCCTGCTCCTCCTGTGCTAGCTGCAACAAATACATGCCTCCAAGGACCAGGGTTAAACATCACCCGGGGATCGCGGGGACTGGGGTGCGGGGCTGCTGTGGATGGAGATGTTGCAGAACAGCTGCTGCAATGAGGTGCTGCTGTGAGAGCAGGGTCTTCCTAAAGCCTGGCCCCTTTAGCCAGCCCAACTAGCTGGTTTTGATTCTGCTGCAATGCTAAGCCTGGTGCTTTTTTGTTGGCAGGATCTGAGGCCGCTGTACGCAGGGCGGTGTCAATACTACTCCAAGAGTACCACCCCACCAGAGGTGAGAGTAGGTTTGGCTGTGCTGTCTCTGTGAAGGGGTTCTGGTATCCCAGAGGTCTGCGAAGTGAAGAGGGCATGGGAACCTGGGCGTGGGAACCTGGGCCTGGAGTGGGAGCAGGGTGCAGGGAGGACTGAGGGACTGAATTTCTCCATGCTTGGCACTGCCACATTTGTGAAGGAGCAGGTGGAGAGGAGGGCATGGGGAGAGGATGGTGCACTGGTTTCTCCAGATCCTCAGCTGCACGTTCATTACAGGAACAGGGTGGTGAGTTGAGAATTCGGACAGTGATAATTTCTGTGAATATGAGCAGCATATGCCAGCCCCTGCATTTCTGCTGTCTATTGTCTTCTCCAAAGAGAAGCCTGTTGGGGATGGGTGTTCCTGCCCCATACTGACAGTGTGTGTGGACATCTTTAGCTGCCTTTGTTGTGCGCTGAGAGTCTTTCTGAGATTTCCTCACAAGTTCCCAAGTAGTTTTGAATAACCACCATATTCCAAATTAAAACGCCTGCTTGAGGTGCAAAGTACTACCCGGTGGCATTGGTGGGGTTCATTCTCTTTTCAGTCCAAAGACCATCCATGTGAGTTTGGGTTTTACTACCCACAGGCAGATAATTAGCTGCTTTAGTCAGTTATTCACCAGTATGGGACTCTTGCTCTGTTTGTATCATCCTGTTGACAGCTCTTTGCTCTAAGTTGCTGTGTGGTGAGGAGTGTTCAGCAAGGTCTTGGCTGCTTGTAAGAGTTGCATAACCCCCTTCCCATGCAGGCCCATGCTTATCTATGACTTCCCCACGGTGAAAGGAAATGGTGGTCTGTTCTAGTCTAGTGCGTCTTTATTTCAGTGCGTGGGCTTTGTAGGAGCTGTGCTGCAAGATAAGGAAAGAAAAATCTACTTGGGGCTGATCTGGAGACCAGTGCAAAATCTACATGTAGAGCAGGCCAAATAGCAGCAGAAACCATGTTTGGCAATTATGTCCTTATGTGCATTATGCATTTCTTCTGTATTCACGCAGGCAGTCTGTCACCCACAGCGCCGTGCACCGTGCACGCCGAAAATAAAAACCAACACCTGCTTCTGCTGTGACCTGTACAACTGTGGAAAGTGAGTAAGCTAAAAATACCATTCCTGGCGTGGGAAGGGCAAGCAGTGGCCATGCTGGTTTGCAGGTGTCTGAAGGGCCAGGATAGGGCAGAAGCAAAGTATCGGTCACTGACAGCTGTTGTGGGAAGGGATCCTGAGCTGTGCTTGCTAGCCACAGGGACTCCCAGGCAAAAGATAACCAAGTAAAGGAGTGTATGAGATACACTAAAGCTGTCCCAGCTACAGATGAGCATGCTCTGGGACAGTCTGGCTGGAAAAATGAAGAAGGCAGGAGTTTCCATTACTTCCATGCTTGGTGCCTGCACCAGTTTTTCCTTCTATCGAGTGTCCTTTGTCCTAACACCTTCCTTCTCTGTTGGCACTGCTCATTCACTGAGTTTTATTTTGTTTTAGAACATTGAAGATGTAAAAACCGGGACATTGATCTTCCTCATCTTCTCACCGTTTCATTTCCTGCCCTGCTAACAGGGGGGAGAGTTCGCATGCTGGTGCCACCTGCATGTTCATAAATCAGTGTCCTCTGTGCCCAGTGAATATCTTCTTGGTCACAAGAGGCTGGAAGGTGTACCAGCGCTGCGCAAGGATGAGTCAGAAGGGTGGTTACCGATCGAGCACCACTGCATAGTGATCACACCATCATTAGATCTGACTACTGTGCCTAAGCCAACCTAATTTACAGCATGCTCTGCTTGTATCATTTGGAGTGTCTAATGTGTGTCAGCAAGCAATTAATAAATAGATTTTTTTTTTTTCCTCAGTGCTGTCTCTTGCCTAGGGCTGTTTCAGGCTTAGCATTTCTCGCAGTACTTAGATGGGCTGGCCCCCACTTAAATCATTGACTGTGGTGGAGGAAGATCAAAAGCTGCTTTTGGGAGAGGGTGGTTCCATGTGCTGGGATGGGTAATCCTTAGTCTCTGTAGGACTTTGTTTCTGTGGTAGGCACTACAGATGGGTGAAGCCCGTGTTTTCCTTCAACAGTCTACAGAACATGATCCCTTTTTACTAGCTGAAGAGAATGATCCCCAGAGAAGTGATTGGAATACAAAAACTTGTATATTTTCTGGTTTTGTTTTTGTTTCAATTTCCTTTTTCTTTTTGCCCAGTCAGGCTTTTTAAGGGTCCTGCCCCTGACCCATTTTCCCCTCTCTATCAGTTTTTACCATCTCAGTCTTGCTTAGTGCCACACAAGTGTTCTGCATGGCAAAGGTGCTGGTTCTTTTGGGATCTCAGTAAGAAAGGCAGAGACACTCAAGGCTGGTTAGCTCATATATTATGTAAAGGATTTAAATTATAGAAAAAATGTCTGCAGTCTTTAATCCCTCCTGATGCTGGGAACTCCAGCTGTGGCAGCATTGGACGAGCCCCTTCTCATTGATAAGTACATGCTGTGCTTCCCTGTACAGTGCTGAGTGTTCTCAGTGGTACACTAAGGCTTGCTGAGAGCTTATGCTCTCACACATCTCCATGGGAACAAGCCCTTGCAAACAGTACATACAAGTTGTATTGTTAAACGCAGTCATGGTATGTGCTCAGGTTATGCAGAGGTCATGCACGCTAACGTACAGGTTTTTGCAACCTGTGCTTACGCTCTGCCTCAGTTCTGCTTGAAATCCCTGTCTTGTTGCAATGTCTTCTGCAGTGCCCTGCTACAATGAGATATGGAAAAAAGGAAAAGAAGAAACCAAAATTAAGTAATGAGGGAAGAAGAATGGTCCTTGTGAAAGGAGACAGATTCCTGCAGGCCTTGCAGTCTGCTGAGGAGCTGAGCCTGGATCTCCTGCTTATTGACCTTAAATATGAGCCTGTTCTTCCCCATTTCCTAAAAGCCCTCGTGCAGTTTGAGCCTAACCCCATGTGTGAGCTGGGAGATAAGCAACATAAGCCCTTAGTATTGTGTTTTCACGATAAATATATTTCCTTAAGGGAAATTTGCTGTAGCCCACTACATCTGGTGGCCAGCCAGTTGCCCCAAGCAGCAGTCGGAGAGAAGTCATTACTGAAGAATCCTGCCTGTGAGACTCCAGACTGGTTTGTCCTTAGGAAGCCTCCAGGATCTCTGTGGAGATTTCAGATGATAGAAGTAAGAGGCAGATTTGAATTGAAGGTGATTTGGGTAATTGCAGGCCTTGCAGGACTTGTTTGTTTCACAACAGATCAAGTTGTCTTCTGCCATTGTCATGCAGGGAGATCTCGGATGCCACCAGCATTGGATTGCTTACCAACAAGTATAGACAGTCAAATCAGAACACACACAATATTAAATGACTGCAAACGTAGTTACTCTCAGCCTTAGCCAACACAGTCTGTCAACACTGTTATCACTTGGCATTCCCTAGCTCTTGGCTGTTTCACCAGGGTCTAGCACTCGTCTAGCCTGACTCTTTGGCTGGGTCACACAGAATGTCCACCTCTTCTGGAGCACCCACAGTTTGAGAAGAAACAGAGATTTCTCTGGCACTTCTGGGCACAGCTCTCAGCAGACCATCAGTTCCCTGCCAACGCAGAGCCCCCAAAAGGCAATTTTTTTTTTGTCCACATGTCCTTGGCCTACATATCCTCCTCATCAAACCACACACTACTGGGCAAGGCTCTTCTTCATTCATTCTTTCTTGGCAGCCTTATGCCTGTCTGGCGTATTGCAAGCAAGGGTGGACTATATACCAACAATATAGGAAGCATTTTCCTGAATCATAGGCATTTTGTAAGTCAGAATTTTACACTACAAGATTTGTAATGTAATTATTGTACTATATTTCTGCTAAATATTTATTTGGTTTACTTAAAAATAGTAACTTTAAGCCCAAATGCTACCAATTGTTTAGTCTGGAGAAAAGGGGATGGAGGTCTTATCGCTCTCTTCAGCTCCCTGAAAGGAGGTTGTAGTGAGGTGGGTGTCAGTCTCTTTTCCCGAGTAGCAAGTGATAGGACAAGAGGAAACAGCCTCAGGTTGCACCAGAGGAGGTTTAGATTAGATATTAGGAAAAACTTCTTCACTAAAAGGCGTGTCAAGCATTGAAACGGGCTGCCCAGGAAAGTGGTGGAGTCACCATCCCTGGAGGTGTTTAAAAGACAGGTAGATGTGTCGCTTAGGGGCTTGGTTTAGTGGTGGCCTTGGCAGTGTTATGTTAATGGTTGGACTCAATATCTTAAAGGTCTTTTCCAACCTAAATGATCTATGATTCTATGATCTAGCAGGCTTTATCCCCGCTCCCTTGGTAGTTATGTCTTGGCTGTCATTAAATTGCAGAACGCATTTTACTGTCCAGCAGAAATGCTTGGGTTTTATGATACGTGGTGCATTTTTTAATCCTTTTTTTTTTTCTTCTCATTTAGCAGAGTAGAGATTTCTGGAGGTTACTATGAATACATTGATGTCAGCAGCTGCCAGGACATCATCCACCTTTACCACTTGCTTTGGTCGGCAACGATTCTGAACATAGTGGGGCTGTTCCTAGGGATCATTACAGCGGCCATACTTGGAGGCTTTAAAGACATGGTAAGATGGTACCAATTTCTCTGTGCATTAAACAACACAAATCAGGCAAATTGCCTTTTAAAAATAATCATGAAAACAGCTATTGGTATTTAAATGCTAATGGTCCGTGCATCTCAAAAATCAGGCTGAAAAGAAGGGCATGAAATAACTGTAAGGAGAAAGCAGAAATTATTTTCTGATCTGGTGTCACCATCTGAACACAATTAGAAAAGTTGAACAGAATTGGGAGATTGTGTTTTCTAAAGGAACCTTCTCAAGAGGTCTTGGCAACACCAGCAAGAAGGAAAATAAGCTCTTCCTTAAAAATTTATCTTCCTTTTCATAGCATTGACCTTCTACAAGGAAATGTGTGGCGGTTGTTTATGAATTGTTGATTATATAGCAGTAGCAGGGTTCTGAGCTTTACAGACTGTTTAAGCAGCCATGTTAGGCTGAAACTCTCCATCCATTTTCTTTATGGTGCAGAATCTGAACTTTAGGGTGAACTGGGGTCCAAAACCAGGTGATAGATTGCAAACTTCAGATAATGAGAAAAATGCTGCTCTGACAATGTGAGTTTTGAAATACCCTCACTTAACCGGGCTGCCTGTTACCTTCCATACAGTTTTGTTCTGCAAAGGACAGACCAATGGGGAGAACTGAACATTCAGCAGATAAATTTGAGGGCTTTTTCAGTCTCTTGTTACTCATTCAGAATAATACAAAGTGAGACACCCAGAAAAGAATGTTTGTTGTCCTGGCAATAATTTTTTTCTTACAAACAAATCTTGGGCCCTGCATTAAGGATGCCTTGTTTCAGAACTTTGAACTTCCCTACACTCTTTTCACACTCACCAAGATCTTGCTGAACAAAACAGGAGATGCATTCCCAACTGTACATCATGGCCTTTTGAGATTTGATCTGCACCAGACAGCCTGTAAACCTCTGCAAAAAAAAGATGTATAGAAGTGTCTGTGAACAACAGTACTAGAGGAGTTTAAATATGCTGATCTCAAAAATGCACTGAATAACAGAGTAATCAGAATTCATGGATTTTTTTTCTCCTACTTGTGAAGGTGCAATCTAAACAGTTGTTTGAGTACTGGGGTGCACTGAGCTATTGCTAGCTTGTGTAATCTGAGAGGAAACAATAGGTGGCTGAGGAATGAAATGACCTCAGGACTTACCTGCTGCCTAAGAGGGAACCAGGTTGCCAGTTGTTAGCAGAGTTGAGCTCTAAAGACACACAGTGCTCCTTCCAGTCATTTCTGCTTTCATTCAGCTGGCAGTCTTCTGTGTCTTGATTAGAAGCCTGAAATTATCTTCCTTTTGTTTTAACAGACTCCTTCCCTCCCTACGCTGAATTGTACGGTTGAAAATGCACACCCTTCAGTGTCCTACTACTCAAGGCCACAGGTGACATCTTACAACACCTGCTACCACAGCACTCCTCACCTGCCTCCCTACTCTGCGTACGACTTTCAGGTAGGGAAGGTTACAGGATGTTTTCATGTTTAGCGGCAAGGTTAAATCCAGCTGGTCTGCAGAACTCTGGAAGCCTGTCTTCCCATCATTCACACAGTTTAATTTTCCTGTTCCTGCAGACAATACCAAATTTTTCCTACTAGGCATTGGTCCTTGACAGTGCTCTCACTTACTAAGGCAGAGTCCTTGAAGAGAAAACAACAGAACCTGCTGCCTGCCTCCCCTGCCGCTCACTAGTAGAGGGTACATCAAAAGCAGGCATTGTCTCTGGCACCTGCAGTGCTCTGAGGACAGAGGCAAAGCAAGGTGTTCAGGTGCTAGTTTTTATTAGGCCAACTACTATGTCTGAGGAAAACAGATGAGGTTTTGGACACGAGCTATTTGAGCTCCTGAAGACACACGCTGACTGAAAAGCTATTCTGTTGTATGTTTTTTTCCACACACTTCAGCTGGTCTAAGGACGGTCTCTGCAGACATCACCTCTGCTGTAATGCATCCCTTCCTCTTCTGAGTTATGGAGCTGTGGTGTTTGAAACAGTGATTTCATGTGAACCTTGCTGTCAACATCAGCTTTCACTTGTTGAAGCAGATGAGGTCGTTTCCTCCTCAGCTCTTCCGTCGGGTGGATTTTACCACAGTGGTGATGTTAACACATCATGCATTTTCTGTGCAGCCATCAGGGCTGGCGACTTTTTTTATTAACAAGAGCTTAAGGTCTTGGACGTCAACTAAGAGGCGTGCTCTGTGATAGCCACCATCTCCTCATCAAAGTCATGCATTAGAGATAACGTCAATCTAAACCTTTCTGCCTTTACTGCTAGTGCCACGAGACAACACTGTTGTTAGGGCTCCCTAGAAATATTTGAACACTTAGATCAGAATTTCTAGGACTTATTTATGTAGATCAGTGACTAGTTTTTGTGATTTACGCAGCCTTGGACAGTCACTAGTGCTGTATAACTTTACAGTTACAAAAATGCCAACCTCAGCACATACCAAACCGATTGCTGCTGCAAAGTACTCTTCTCAGCCACTCAGCTGGTACTAAACGCTGTTTAACTCTGGGTTTGCCTGTACTGCAGCCATAGTGCCTGCAGAGAGCTCAGCATGAGTGGATTTGCCCTGCTTTTCGACTAGAAGTACTGCTGGGGTTCTGCTGTCACTTACAGCTCAGCCAGATGGATGAGTCTGTGTCTCACTGCTGTGAGCACAGGTGTTGGCTTAGGAGCCAGCACAAAAGCTGGGCATAAATTGAGGTAATCTACATTTAAAATATCCAAGTCTCTTTGTCAGATTCAATTCCAAGTCTCAGCGTTGTTTATCTTCATGGAAATTGAGGGCCTGCATGAAAGCATTGGCTGAGGCTTCTGGTTGTGGAGACTCTCTCTTGCCTTGAGCTCTACTCTGACCTGAGCAGTGTCTGTGCCACCCGAACACCTTCTCCCCTGCCATCCTACAGCACATGGATCAAGCCCAGCCTTGCCTCTCAAATCCCTTTCGAAGGCTGCACTCCCTCTGGTGCAAGAGTTGGCCAAGTCAGTGCTTCCCACTACTGCAGTTTAACCCAGCCAGCAACTGAGCACCATGCATCCCCGCTCACTCACACCCCCACCTCCCCAGTGAGACAGGGGACAAGTATTGGAGGAAAAAGATAAGAAAACTCATGGGTTGAGATAAGAACAGTTTAGTGATTGAAATAAAAGTAAAATAAAATAATAGTAATAATATTAAATTATAATGATAACGAAGACAGCAAAATAGCAAGAGAGAGCAGAACCAAGAGGGGGAATAATTATGTAACTGCTCACCACCTGCTGACTGATGCCCCCAGTCCCCGAGTGGTGATTGCATACCCCCAGCAAACTTACCCCAGTTTATATATTGAGCATGATGTCTAACGGCATCGAATATCTCTTTGGGTAGTTTGGGTCTGCTGTCTGGGCTGTGTCTCCTCCCAGCTTCCTTTTCAAAGCTTTCTTCCTAAAAGAAGCTGTGAGGACAAGGACAGTCCTTGTCTTAATGTAAACATTGCTTGACAGCAACTAAAACATCAGTGTGTTATCATATTATTCTAAACACAAATCTAAAACATAGGTCTTATACTACCTGCTATGAGGAAAATTAAATTATCCCAGGCTACTATAAAAGAAAATTAATTCCATCCCAGCTGAAAACCAGCACACCCACTCATCCCATACATCTCTCTCAGGGGAAATAAAACACTTCAGAATGTCTAAGGAAGCCTGTGCCCCTGCAAGAGCCTGGCTTTCACACACAGTTCTGAAACAGCAGACCCAGCTCTCTGACTTTTGGAGGAGCACAAGGTGAAGGGTGTTGCAGCTGCAACTGCTTGTGCCATGGCTAATGACACTCTACCCAGCTGGTCGTGGTGAGGAAGGCAGTAGGCATTTGCAGTGTGCCATGATGGGAACGAGGCAGGAGGAAAGGCGCTTTGTTTCGTTAACAAAGCCAGGCTGCTGCCTGCAGTCAGTGCGAGCCAGGCTTGCTTGCAGCCACAGCAGCTCTCCGACAGCTCTCATGGCTGTGGCAACCTGGCACAGGCTCTTTGTAATGGTGAAAACCCAGGGCTGCGTTTGCTGACGGGTGCTGCTGCCATGTCACTGCAGCAGTGCCCTTCCAAACATCTTTGTAGTTTGGGGATCGATGGAAGAGCTGTTGCGTTACTTGAAACAGAAATGGTTTGTATGGCTTTCTGTGAAGTCCTCAGTGAGCAGGCTGGGCTTTCATGGTCTATATATCCACTTAATAAAGTGTCACAGGTTGGTGTTAGGGGAGTGACACAAAAAAGATGCTGTTTGAAAATAGCCTGCAATTACTGCAGAGTCCATCATCTGTCCACCACCAAGGTAAAATCATGTGGTCACCTCCCACCCTGTGCATGGTAACCACTGCACACAGCTCAGCCTTGCCACCCCTGGCGCGGGTCCCTCGGCATGCACATCTGTGCCGCTTGCAGCACGGTGCAAAATCCTCCTCACGCTTCTGTCTCTGCCTGGGCCTTCAGTCAGGCACATCTGGGATTTGCGACCCGTGCCTGCAGCCGAAGGGTGGTGAAGGGGTGCACGGTGTGGCCGAGTGCCCTCCAACGTTGCTCGCTCTGCATATGGCCAGCAGCAGCGCAGGGCGCTGTGTGGCTCTTGGGTTAAAACCAGGGCATACTGGTGGACAGAGGAGCAAACACAAGTATCTGTATTTCACCTGTTTGTCTGGGCTGGTTTTGGGCAGAACACAGCTTGTACGCTGGTCTCTGACGGTGCCAGCACCATGTGACTCAAGGCTTTAGACCTAAAGTATTTTTTATAACAAAGGTATTTTGGGGAGCAGAAGTTGATCTTCAGGCATGCACAAAATTTATTTTTCCACCCTCTTAAGTATTTTACTTACTGAAGAATTAAATTTCTTTGTTATCATTAATTTCCAGGTTTATTTTATTTGTGATGAAGAGGAAAAAGTAGTGTAAAAAGAAACTAACTGCAGCCTGTTCATTGTTGCTACTGGGTGTTGTGTGAAACCCAAGATCTGAGAGAGACTCATCAGGTTTCAGTTGTCCAACCTCTGTGAAATGCAGCAGACACACAGAAGTGATAAGAGAATTTTTATTTTTATTTATTTTAAAATACTTCTTCAGTTTTAGGTCTAAGGAGTCTCACTATGCAAAACTGTTACAAGCTGTGCTTACCTTGAACGTAACAAGTTATTTGAATACTTACTTGTGTATACTTGGATTTTGCAGAAGTGAGCCTTGAAATGTTAATTTTGCACTGCTTGGGAACAGTGTCACTTTGCCAGGGTGCTTTACATGAAGAAGTGGTTACATTACCCTCCTTGCTGTCTCCCTGCAGCATTCCAGCATGTTTCCAGCCTCTACTCCTTCTGGCCTCTCGGATGACCCCCAGTCAATGTCGCCATCTCCCAGCTATATGTGGTCCTCTAATGCGCCACCTCGTTACTCGCCACCGTATTTTCCACCTTTTGAAAAGCCACCACCTTATACACCGTGAAGAACATGCAAAAGAAAAAAATAAGTTGCTATTGAAATAATTGTGAACATTTTGTATTGATATTTTACTGTGGGAGGGAGCAGAATAGATATAGAAGATAATTGCAAATACAAATATTTGATTGGACTGTTCTTTCTTGCGAGACTTATTTCAGAGGTTAAACAGTGGAGCATGAGGAAGGGGATGTGCGGCTGATGTTTTGCAGTGTCGGTGAGCAGCAGGTGACCTAAATTCCAGCCTCCTTGTTTTACTGTGAGGTTCATGTAGTCCTTGGTTTTTAATAAAGCAATGCAACACAGCTGATAGATTTTGGCCTGCCTTACTCCATCTTGTGCCAAGCTGAAGTAAGGGTAGCCAAGATCGACAGTTGCCGCAGAGCATCAATCTGTTTAAGGTGAGGGTGCTTGCAGGTGGCTCGACTTGACGCCTGTTTTGTTTGGCCTTGGGGCTCCAGTTGCTGGGATTTTTTTGGGGCGGCAGAACCTAGCTCACATCACTTGTTGGTTACAGCCTGCGCACTGGAAAAATTGTGGGGGAACCATGTCTCAAACTTCAGCACTAATGAAAAGAGAGAACATCATAGGATATTTTCAGGTATGTCTAGCAAAACAATTGGAATATTGCTTTTTTAAGGGGAAAAGCTTTAATTGGCAAGCTGTTTTATTTCAGGATGCTTCTTAAGATAGAAGTTGAAATGCAGTTGTCTTTCTCTGAATTCCGTGCAAGTAATGCTGAAGTCAAACAGTCTGGGTGGTTGCACTGCCTAAATCTTCCTTGTATTCCAATAAAGAGCATCAGAAATTGTCCACAAGTCACTGAAACTGTGCAGTGAAAAGATTATTATTTTCTTTCCCTTCCGTTTCATTTGGAATTTTTCTTTTGGCTTGTACTTTTAACGTTTTTAATGGACTGAATCAGCACCTTGAATAACCAGTGTTTTAGTAGCTGTATTATGGGCTGCTCACAAGGAATATCCACTACTCATTCTCCAAGATGTAAGTCTCACATGGATAAAATTCAGCACCCTGTGATATAGGATGAAACTGGTAGGAATTCGCAATTATTGTTGTGACTTTCATTTAATCTTCAGCTGATGACTGTGCCAATTGATCTAGATTCCAACAGATTTTGCATGCATCCTGCATAACAAAAGAAGGTCAGCTTTGTTATGTGACACACTGTCCTGTAAAGTGTGGTTCTACTCCAGGAAGTGATTTCAGATGACAGCGTTCAGGTCTGAGCTGCTCAGCCTGAGCATTCTCAGCTGCTTCCTTCAGGGATAAAAACAAGGTATTGACATCTTACTCCTTACTTCCTAAAGATTTCATTTCCCTGGCATCAGGTCGTTGATCCTAATCCTCCATGGTCTGCCTTTACTTTCAACTGATGCAGACAAAAGGTACCTAAGCGCTAAATCTGGCTTTTAGAATATAAAAGTGGAATATGTGCTAGGAGTGGGGGGACTAAGTTGGATTTGAAACTGTGGCATCTCTCTACTTCCAGTCGAAAAAAGAAAAAAAAGTCAAAATGGAAACTAAACACTGAAGTCTCTGATCTCACTTTTCAAAGTACACCCACACTTCATAATGCTGGTTTTAATCCTATGCATTTGCAAAGCCTTTAGGCTAGGCTATGTGTTAACCTTATCATTTCCACTGTCAAATACTAGTCGGTATATTTAGGATGACAGTGTTTATCCAGAAGGAAGTGTAACTTCTCTCCAGTAACAAAGAAAAATAAACAGCTGGAGAAAGGAATACAACTCATGGGATTTAAAGCAGTAGTGTATGCAGAACATATCCTGGTGATATTTTGTTTTACTATAGATTGTTGAAGTGCAGCTCCTATAAATTTGCGTACTGGAAATATATTTATATACTAGGGCTTCATCCATTTTATATTACATTTTACTGAATTAAATCTTGATAAAGAGATTGTGGGAACGTTCAAGATAGACAATACTTCTGATGGAACTCCCAACAAAACTAGAATCAGAAGGGCACATTAATTTAATATGAAAAAATTTATTGCCACGTCTTTGAAATAAAAGCTATTGGTCCTGTCCCGCTCCTGACAAACATCCTCTGCCACTTGTGCCTGTCAGCGAAATGGGGCTAGAAGGACTAGGGGATGCTACAGGACAGGACTAAAGCTCATGAGAGGACCATAACAGTGGCAAAGAAACAATTAGGAAATAATTGTCATTGGTTTTGAGTTGACAAATACTAAATTTAAGAAATTATCCAAATTGTCATTTTTTTTCCTAAGGAGTATTTAAGCAAAAATTACATTGCTGCTTTAAATTCGCTATAAAAGGACAAGTCCATTTTCACAATTTTAAAAATTACCGGTGGGATTTTCTGTTGCATTACCTGTTTCCTTCTGCTTGAGTAAAACTGAGCATTTAATGCACATGAACATTCCGCACTGTATTCATCATTTCTTATGAGAATGTCAAGATTGTGACTCATATGTACCCTTTTATTACTTTACCAAAGTAAAATAAAATTGTGTGACTTTTGTAAACATTTATAAATTGCATTCTACATTTTGGCAACTTGCCTGTTTTACAAACATCTTTAATGTTAGTTGAGGAATTCCAGTATAACAGCATCATGCATTTTAAAAAAAGTCCAAAAAAACCCCAACAACTAAACCAAACCCTGTATATGCTGTATTCAAAACTAGTGTTTCTACTAGGATTAGCCAGAAATACCTTTTTTTAGCTCTTTTTTTTTTGAAGCCCTAGATGCCCCCACACTTCCTAATTCTGCAGTTGTACCCATGTAACAGGGTGCCCTGACTTCAGTTATGGTGAAGTTATTGCTGCTGACTTTTTGCTTAACACAGAGGTGAATAATCCAGACAGTGCAGTGTCAGTGTGTCATTTTCTTGCTGTCATGTTTACGACGTTACTTTGGCCCTAATTCTGTCCTGATGTCAGCTGCCCTCGATGTTAGACGAAGTAGGTGGAAGCCCTGTGATAAAGGCATCTAAAACACCATTTGATGTGTTACTTACTAAAGTGCATTCCATGTCTGTAGTAAGAAGTCTACATGAAGTAACTGATTTTCTCCGTGTTAGCTGTGGTTCACCAACAATCCAGCTGTTCCAAATCATAACTGGTCAGCAATGCGGTAAGAAGAGGAGCCCTAACCATGAATTAGCTGAAATGCATTGCACTGGGCACTAGCTGTGTGTTTCTTAATTTCTAGCCCGTTTGCAATGATAGTAGTGGTTGGACAGACTGGTCCACAGCAACTCTGCCTGTTCTCAGAGTCAGTGTGTATCACAGCCTTCAGCTCACAATACACAGTGGAGTTTTGCAGCTAATTTGCTTTCTTGGAAAGTGCTCCACCAAAACAAAAACTGAACAAACAAAACCACCAAAAAAAACCCAAGCTCCAAATAAAAACAGCTCCCCTGCTTCTCCCAGAGACCTGGAAAAGGAAGCTGCACACCACTGGGCATCTCAGACTGTGGAAGTTAAGTTGTCTTGAAAAAGAAACACGCTACACCCATCTTTAGAATTAAATTTCTTTTATTTTTTTTTTGCCATAGAAACCTCTAAGAACTAATACCAAGTATTGATTAACAAAAAGTAGAACACAATTTTAAAAAGTATGTTAGGG